AAAAAAAAAAAAAAAAAAATCAATCAGTCATGCAATAAGAAGGACACACGTTTGCAGTTTTCTTTATTGAATAAAAGACAAACATCCATTCCCCCCTCCTTCTCCATGTCAAACATTCCACGCTGCTCCGGTTCGAAGAAATAAATAAAAGAATTGAAATGAAAGCACATCTTTCAGTTTTAATTTAGCTGCAGGATTTCACATAAATCAAACACAAGGCAGCTCCTTCAATAAATAAAAAACACGCATAAATAGAACTTTAGTTTTKGTGTTATAATATAGGTTATTATAGTATTTTATTCTATGACATAAACCCTCTAAAATAAAAAAAATATAGCTTTGGTTTTATTTAACTTTTGCTTAACCATCATTTTATTTTAGCTTCAATCGAAATATAAATTATTTTAAATATAATACAAAATCAAACATTAAATAAAGACTATTTATTTTTCTATTACTCCCTTTGATTCAACGCGAGAGAAAAAAAAAGACACTCAAGGGTGGCCCTCTTCTCCCGTCTCTCCTGCGTGRGTACATCCATAATAATAAAAATGTCAGCCGGGCCCTTGTGGAGGTCCTGCAACGAGACAACAAGCTAAATGAGAAATCATTTAAAATATAATGCACTGCTACGTTTTCAGTCAGTCAAAGCCGCTCAGAGAGGAGCACAAACTGGGATCATAAAGGAGCTTATTTCTTTAAATGTTCGGCACATTTGCTGCGTAAAGGCAGCTCAGTTCATTATTTTGGTGCTTAAAGAGGGGGAAAAGTCGACAAAAAACTGATCGTTTTTGCTCATTCAAAAATATTGCGCACAATATTTTCTATTATTTTTGTTTATTATTAACAAAAAGCAAACATGAATCTGCAAAATTGCGCACATGCAACATTTTTTTCCTAAAATGCACGTTCGCAACAATTTTTGCCCACTTTCATTTATGAATTCTATTTTTTTCTTCTTCTTTTATGTTGGACTCATTTCCAAACCCCAAACTGATTGATATCCGTGGGCACGAACATTGCTGGCCCTGACATATGGTTAGTAGGAGAACCTAGAACAATTGGAGCATGGTGTATCACTGAAAAAAAAAAAGCTGATGAATTTAGTATTTCTGCATCCACATGCAGACGCGAGCGCAGCAGCATTTTTACCTGAACAAAAAGCACACAAATGGGKGGTTTAAGGAATACATTTTTAAAAATATATTTATATATATTTTTTATCCGCGGGAGGATCGGTCGTAAATCAGTTGTAGTATAAAGATAAGTGTGTAGGACGTGCTGAGGTCCTCTAAATGCCGCCACCCACTCCTCTTGTGGCACACAAAGCCTTGTGCGTAATTCCAAAATAGCCACCGTCTCTTCCCTTAGCAACTCCTCTGTCCAGCTCACCACCTCTGCTAAAAACGAAAAAAATAAAAATAAACAAATAAAAGTGGATATTAAAGAATCCAAAGATAGGAAAACCAGGTGGGGAAGCCAGCTTCAACCCCCCCACCCATACTCACTGCTGTCCTCAGACAGGAAACGGTCGCATCTTGTGTGGCTGGATTCTCTCTGTTTTTTTTTTTTTTCATTCTTTCTTCTAAAACATCCCTCCAGCGACAAAAACCCGAGCAGAAATGCGAGCAGAAAACTGGTTCTAATCTGAGTGGCCAGTGTTTCTCGGCGCTTCCTGGCTGCATTTGATCCGGGGGAGAGTTAGAAGCCTTAAATGTGTTGTGAGGGCACCGAGCTGTCAGACCTTTTGGCGAGTAAGATTGATCGCGCGCAGGCTTCCAGGACTCTTTGTTTGGTATATAAGCAAGAAAACTGAAAGAGGCCTTCCACTTCTTCTTCGACTTCTTTTCCTTGTGTTGCTCAATAAACCACACACACATATATGTATTTTTTCCCTCACTGTGAATGAAATGTGGCTGCCTCTTTTGGAAAAAAACAACTTCTGAATGTGGCTTTCATAGATTATTCTGGGGGATCATCTCACCCTGAACTGTATAATAAAGCTACAAATGGTCGATTAGAGCTGATATTCACTGAAAATCCATGTGATAATAGAAACATAGAATTTTTTATGTTTTTTTAATGAAGTAATGTCCTTTTTATGACGTCTGGTTGAGGCATGACGAAACAAATAGGGAAAAATACGTTATTTAAAAGTGCATTTTTTAAAATAAAAAATAGTGCCTCTTAATTTATCAAAAGATTTYATTATTTGGAACTCTTGCAACATTATCATATCTTATCTTATCGTTATCATATCAATAATTAATTTATGTAATTAACAAAAAAGTGCCTTAAATGTTCAACTATAAGATGATTGTCTGTTTAGGTTTCTGCGCAGTAGTTAYATAAGTTTAGCTGCTCATGCTCCAAATTTGTCATGTCTGTCACTATTTAGTGGGTTTTATTGCTTCTCGGTCGCTCTTCTGTATCATTTAAAGCTCACGTGCTCTGCTGTCCACATTCAGTGAGGATTAGTTGGGTTTCCCCCCCACCTTAGAAGTCTTTGAGGTTTGCCTTTTCACCTCCAAAAGTCTGCCTAAATATGAAGAGCTACTGAAATGTGTGAGTTTGTGTGTCGTTTTTGTGTGTTTGTGTGTGTGTGTGTATGTGTGCTGGGGGGCGTTCTCGGCTGACATCCTCAAACAATACGAAAAAAGAGGAGTGCACGAAACCGCGCACCCTAAAGCTAGGCTCCTTCCTTGTGCCAGAGAGAGTCAGCCATTCTTTTTAAAAAAAAAACACAGAGATTTTGTAGCTTTAGTGGAGCTGGACTGCAGGAGCGCGAGGAGGATAAACTGAGCGGACAAAGATGTAAATAAAAACAGTCGTGTCCCAGCTGAGGCGAGGCGATCTTCAGCAGAGTTTTTGGATCAATCAGGCAGACAGTGGCTCCTTTTGATTAAACCCCAAATTGTCATTGGGCAGAGGTAATCATGTGACAGGCAATTCGGTCCAATTTCAACCTTGTCTCCATGAATTCAATAGTTTAATGGTAGCTCGGTCCCCATACGGCCGTAATCAGTGGCATAGAAACAAACAAGAATCTTCTTTTTTATGTTTTTTTTCTTTCTCGTCCTCACCGAGCCGCGACATTTATAAAAACACGCGCGCGAAACTTTCCTCGGCTCGCAGGGAGCGGAGATGAATTACGAATTCGAGCGAGAGAGCGGTTTTATCAATAGTCAGCCGTCGCTTGCTGAGTGCCTGACATCTTTCCCCCCTGTCGCTGATTCATTTCAAAGTTCATCAATCAAGAGCTCGACGCTTTCACGCCCGACACTGATTCCTCCTCCCTTCGAGCAGACCATCCCCAGCCTGAACCCGGGCAGCCATCCGCGCCACGGCCGGCCCAGACACAGCCAGGATGCGGGCTGCAGCCCGCTGCCCACCGCCTCCCTGCCCCCGGAGTACCCGTGGATGCGGGAGAAGAAAGCCTCCAAAAGGAACCACCTGCCGACCTCCACCGCTACCACCGCCATCTCCAACGGAGCTGTGTGCTTCTCCCCGAAAGGTGGGTGAAAACAGAATAAAAAAGGAGGAACATCCATGTTTTACCTCTATCTGTTAACAAACAAAAACAACGGTGCTTTTATTCTCTTGGGTTTGGAGTTTTTATTGCTTTTCGTGCGTAAAAATAAAAGTTTGGCTAAAGTTTTTGGTGATGGAAGATGATTTATTCCCCATCTCCGAGGCAGTTTTGATGTGTGACAGTAATGAAGAGTGATGGAGTGCCTTTGCCGCGGAGGGCAGCTGGAGAATTCATTAGAATCCCACGCCAGCATGGACCTCACTGTTAGAGAACTGCTCATGTTGGCTTTTTAAATCAGTATTTTTACGTGAAAAATCATAAACATCTAAGTAAATTCTGCCTTTTATTTTGGATTAAAGCGGCCATTTTGTTGCAGCCTGCTCTGTTGTGGACTGGGGAAGGCTTTATTCATGGGCAGTGGGGTTATGTGTGTGTTTTAATCCCACCATGTTTGTTTTCCAGGCTCGCCTGAGATTGTGGAGAGCAGCGGCAACGGCGGCGGCGGCGGCGGAGGAGGAGGAGGAGGGGGCTCCCGCCGCCTGAGAACCGCGTACACCAACACGCAGCTGCTGGAGCTGGAGAAGGAGTTCCACTTCAACAAGTATCTGTGCCGGCCGAGGCGCGTGGAGATCGCGGCCCTGCTGGACCTGACCGAGCGGCAGGTGAAAGTCTGGTTCCAGAACCGGCGCATGAAGCACAAGCGGCAGACCCAGAGCAAGGAGAACCACAACGGCGACGCCAAGGGCCTCGGCGCAGACGAGGGCATGCACAGCGAGGAGGACGACGACGACGAGGGGCCCCTGCTGTACGAGCAGAGCGGGCCCCTGCTGGAGAGGGATACCTGCTCCTTTCAGAACAACGCGCAGCAGCTCCACAATGGAGAGCCGGCGAGCTTTGGGGCCGCCGCGCCGCTCAACAGCAATGACAAAAATCTGAAACATTTCCCCAACCCGTCACCCACTGTTCCGGGCTGCATGTCAACAATGGGCCCTGGCTCGGCATCTGGCCCGGACAATGGGGACAGTCCYTCAGCTCTGGATGTTTCTTTACACGACTTTCAGCCTTTCTCCTCGGATTCCTGCCTGCAGCTCTCGGACACAGCCTCGCCGAGCTTGTCAGAGTCCCTGGACAGCCCCGTGGACATTTCTGCGGACACTTTCTACTTTTTCTCGGAGTCTCTAACAACGATCGACCTGCAGCATCTGAACTATTAAATCAAATCACCCTCTCTATATTTCTCTCCCCCCTCACTTCTCTTTTCTTTTATGTGAAACCAGGCTCTGTTGTTTGTAAAATTCGGCACATTATTCTGTTGATTCGTGACGATTAATAACAAGGTAAGGCTGAGATAAAATCAATGAAACAGCTAGTAATAATCAACTTGAYGACATGGAGTGTGTGAGAATAATCCAACAGTATTAGTTCTATAAAAACCAGGTCAATCTTTTTTTATTTTTGTATAGTTTCTTGAATATTTTTGTTAGAATACAAATAACTTGCTACAATCTTTTAAACTGGTGTTTGAGTCCCTTCTTTGACATTTATATTTTTCTTTTTTATTTTGCCTCATTAATTAATGTTGGGAACTTAATTAAAGAAACGCAGAGGAAGAGGTATGCAWATTAACAACAGGTTGGTTATGAATATAAATTATCTAATTTGCACTGAGGGCTAAAAGAGTTCAAGTCATTCATTTGGATTATTTCGAATTTTACATAAATGCGCAAAAATAATTTTTTTTATATTAAGAAAGATTTTATTGCCTTTTTAAAATACAAATAAACCAACAAGAAAATAACAGCAAAA